TGGAAACCATACCTTTGAACATCATTAAAAAACAAAAAAATACTGTTACACATTTGCTTTTTGTTTGTGTGTTCATTGTTAATTAAAAAAAAATGCCCGGTGAAAGTCTCCATTATTTGAAATTAAATTGAAAATTTACTTCTTACGTGGGTTCACCACGTGGGTTGCATTTTGGGCAGCAAAAGAAATGATTAATTCAGTGAAAAAGTTAGTGAGAAGATGGATCGTCCTGTTTTGTGCAGGTTATAAAGAAAAGAATTGCATAAAAAAGGAATAAGAATTAAAGATGGTTTTATGATTTCATCATACTCTTGGTATCATCCTGTGATTCCTAAACTTCTCTGCACATAGAAATCAAGTGGGAAGTTTTGCAATATTGTGATGTTTGGTTACTGCCTCAGAGATGGCGGTTTTTGTTGGTCGGGGGTGGGGCTTGGGCTTTCGAAAGGTTGGATGATTCTAACGTGCAGACAAGGTTGCCATGGAAAGATACTTTGTTACTCACAGTTCCATAGAGGCCAGGGGTGCGAGCCATGCCTGGGGTCATACAGGGAAGCACCAGGGTTGTTCAGGGGAAAGGGGGGTGAGGGAAATGCATGGGAAAAGGACTTTATTGAATGTTTCTTTTTCTTTTTTGAGATAGAGTCTCCCTTTGTCACCCGGGCTAGAGTGCAGTGGTGTCATCATAGCTCACTGCAACCTCAAACTCCTGGGCTCAAGCGATCCTCCTGCCTCAGCCTCCCATGTAGCTGGAATTAGGTGCATGCTACAATACCTAGCTAATGTTTCTATTTTTAGTAGAGATGGGGTCTCGCTCTTGCCCGGGCTGGTCTTGAACTCCTGAGCTCAAGCGATCCTCCCACCTCAGCCTCCCAGAGTGCTGGGATTACAGGTGTGAGCCACCGCGCCCGGTCTACTGAATTTTTTTAATGGGAAGAAATAGGCAAGGCCAAGTAGGCAAACTTAAGATTGGCTGGTTTGAATCATTTCCGTGGGCTCTGGGCGGCAGGGGTGGTTCCTAGTTGGCTGCCACCTGATCCTGCAGTGATTAGGGCGGGGGAATAGCAGCCTAAGGATGACAATCTCATAAAGGAGGTGGTTGGGGTGTGGGCTGTGGATTGACCATTTGCCTATGAAAGGTGCACTCACAGGTGAGTCATTTGCTGTCTCTAGTTATTCACTAGCCTTGCAAGGAGCATTCTCTCCAGGGTCAGGCAGGCCCCAAGATGTCAAAGCATCAGAATATAAAAAATAAAAACCGTGATCACTACACCAGGCTGCACCCCAGGCTAGTGAGCTTGGCCTGCCCAAGGGTGGGTCCCTGGCATCAATGTTTCAGTGAAGGAGTGCAGTGATTGCGTTGTGCGGCCGTGGTTAAGAACCATGGACTTGGCAGACGCTCTGTGCTTCCAGGCCATTTGGATAAATTTAGCCCAGTCTGCTCAGAGAGCATCCATCTGGTTTGCAGAGTGAGCATAGTTCTCAGCAATCATCATTTGGGAACTCGGAGAATTCTTTCTGAGGTTTTCCAAAACGTTGAGGATGAATTCTGGTTCAATGCAGACAGGTGGGAAGCTGAATAAAGTTTTATCGGCACACGGCCATGCCCATTTGTGCATATATTGCCTGTAGATACTTTGAAGCTACAACAGAGGCGAGCAGTTGCAAGCAGAAACTCCGTGGTCTGCAAAAGTGAAAATATTTACTATCTTGCCCTTCACAGAAAAAGTTGGCCCATCCCCGTTTTATATAGTGACCCACATCAAGGAAAGCAATCGAATGGGTAACACCTGCCCAGGTAACCCCGTTACCTGTGGGGCTGTCTAACGCTTACTGACTCCAATCTCATGGTGAGAGTGTGCAGGTTTAGACCATGCTCTTCCCACTGTAGCAGAGGAGGCACTCTTTACGATCTGTGTAACCGGAGTTCAAGGGAGCACGTGGTTAGTTATAAAGAAAGACCAACCTGATCGAACAGGGTACCTGCCGGTGAGGAAAGCAGCTCTGCTTGGCGTGCACACCGACGCGGCAGAGATGTGCTGGGTCAGCATCACTCCGTCTTCCGCAAGGCGGTCGATATTTGGAGTCCTATGCAGGGAAGAATTACCAGCTTTATCCGTTGAAAAATGAACCGATCTTTCATAGGCATGCATGGCTTCATTGAAAGTCTGCTGGTCATTCATTGTTTAATGCATCAAGATGTTCTTAGGTTTCATGGCCAAGAAACATGAAAAAATGCTCAACATCTCTAATCATCAGGGAAATGCAAAATCAAAACCACAATGAAATATCACTGAACTCCAGTGAGAATGGCTTTTACCAAAAAGTCCCAAAACAACAGATGCTAGTGTGGATGCGGAGAGACAGGAACACTCATACACTGCTGGTGGGACTGCAAACTAGTGCAACCTCTGTGGAAAGGAATAGGGAGACACCTCACAGAGCTACAAGTAGAACTACCATTTGATCCAGCAATCCCACTACTGGGCATCTACCCAAAGGAAAAAAAGACATTCTGTAAAAAAGACAACCGCATGCGAATGTTTACAGCAGCACAATTCACAATTGAAAGATGTGGAAACAACCCAAGTGTCCATCAATGCATGAGTGGATTAATAAAATGTGGTATATGTACACCATGCAGTTCTACTCAGCCACAAAAAGCATGGTGAACTAGCACCTCTTGTGTTATACTAGATGGAGCTGGAGCCCATTCTACTAAGTGAAGTATCACAAGAATGGAAAAACTAGCACCCCATGGACTCACCAGGAAATTGGAACTAATCAGCCAACACTTATGTGCACATATGAAAGCAGCGTTCATGGGAAATCAAGCAGGTGGGAGGGAGGAGGAGGGGATGGGTAAATCCACACCTAACAGGTACAATGCACGTCATATTTTGGGGTTAGGGAGATGTGCGCCTGTCTGTCCGAAGCAAAGTTTTTCAGCAGAGAAGCAGTGAAATCATGCCTGAATGGGTAGGCTTGGTCAATATCAGTCTTCGGTTTACAGGCAACAGCAGTGATTTTTAAAACATTGTCTATCCCACACTAGGTGCATATAAATCATATTTAAAACAGAAATGAGTAGTCATAGGTAGGATGCGATTGAGCTGGGGTTAGTGCCGGCCTGGGAAGAAAGTGGGATTCAGAGTATGTTAGAAGAAGCAATGTGTGTGGAACTCTTAAAGACTGGACTCCTGCCCACATCAAGGGTTAGTGGCTTCTGTTTCTTGTGGTCTCTGCGCTGTGATCACCAGACGAGCAATCCTCCCGTTCCTTGCCTTATGGTGCTGTTGCCATAGCAGCCGACGTCTCCAATGCCAAGGTCGTCTGCCATCAGCAGAAGCATGTTGGGCCGGGAGCCAGGTATGTCTCTGCAAGTGGCAGGCGTCAAACTCAGCAGCACACCCAGGGTCGCAGCCAGACAGCTCCTGAAATACAAGCTACCGAGGGACACGTAACTCTCCTTCCTATCTTGTTCCCAATGCTTCCCTAAGTGGGAAGCTGGCATCACTCTTTAGGGGACTTTGATATTATTTTCACATGCTAGAATAGCTTTGAGTGCATCTCTTAGGCATTTGATCTATTTGTTATTTTCCCCAATTAAAAATAACTCATACAGTGTATGGTTTTCTTTGGACTTCAAGCGTTTTATTTGGGAAGTTCTGGTCTCTGCTGTTAAGTGATCGTCCTCAGTGATTAATGAGAAGTCTTATTCGTGGCTGCTTAGAATGCGTGGATCGAGCGTCCAGAACAGCTACTGCTCTTTCTTCTCTAAGTAAACTGAGTCAGGCTTAGGTATTGGTGGCACCTTGTTGGGCGTTGGACCACCCAGAAGAGCAGAAAAGACGTACGCGCTCAGGGCACAGTGAGACCACAGCGGCGTGGTCATTCTCAGTCCGTGAAGAGTCTCTGTGCATTTGAGCTTGAATGCAAAAATTCCAAAGACTGACTTTTTTAGCCCACTGGTATCTCATGAGAAAGATCCTGCTGGAGCAGAAACCCCTTGTGGTTGCATTTCTCGAGGAAGCGTTGCCACAGGGCTTAGTGGCTTCCACCCTGCCACCATCGTTGCTATTGTTTTTGCGGATGCCACCGTGCGCATGCAGGTATACAGCAGGGCAGTGGTGCCCCAATCCCCGCGTGATACACTAGAGATGTGACCTGAGCCTCCAAGAAGGTGTGCAAGATGCGGTCCCCGGAAAACCAGACACCTGGCCCATGGTAGCACTTAACGCCCACCTGGTGTGAGGCCACCTGGGGCAACCACAAGGTAGGGGAGCGTGCGCTTCTGTGAATCACAAGTCCCCAGCGTGACCGATTACTAAGTGCACGAGGCCGCTCAGTTATCAGCGCATTCTGAGAAAGCCACAGAAGAGAGGCAGAGGCCGGAAACAGAATATTAATGAAGGGACATAATCCTCCCTCACCAAGAGTGGTCCAGATGTAACATGGTCTCTCTTCTCTTTTTACGCCCTGTAAGAAATAAAGACGTTCATAATAACACAGGCAAGAGAAACTGGAGTCATTATAGGTAAAACAATAAATTCATAACCAGAAAGGAGAACTTTGGTTCTCTCACATGATAACGACACCAAAAACACCTTAAAACAATGAATCCACGTCTCGTAAAGGGACATGATTTCCCTCTTGCAGAGGGAAAAGGCGTTAAAAAGGTTGGACACCAGGTTAAGAATGTAAAATGTTACTTTAAAAAAAATCCAGATGAGAAATATTTGGGGCTTTGCTGCCTAGCTGGTTTCTGTTACAGCTACTCCCCCCACCTGTTGTAGAAGGAAAGGGGCTATAGGTGACACCTTGGTGAATAGATGTGGTTGTCTTCAATGCAACTCCGTTCTGGAGACTGTCAGATGGCCATGCCATCCGGCTGGGGAAGGGCCAGGCTCAGGCAGAACAAGACACCCTGTACCATATTCTTCTATCTGGTTGTCCATGTATGGTCTACAGCGTCCGTAGGAGGGGAGTTCTCAGTTGGGCTAAAGTTGGGCATACTTGGGCAAGGTGTAGAAACAAGGCAAGGACCGTTTATCCACTGGCTTTGTTTATACATTTCCCAGAAGGATTTTAGCGGCGTGAGAGCCCCCAAGCTTGGTGCCCGGGTTTGGTTCTGGAAGGTTGTGTATAGGTGGGTGGTATCATGCACTCTGGTTTCCCACTATTGTTGTTGATAGCTTTACGTGTCGCCCAGAGGTCATAGTGCAATTAGGGTTACTCCTGGTGTTGTGCATTCTGTGGGTGTGGACAGGTGTATAATGAGATGGGCCCTCCACGATAGGAACATGCAGAATAGGGTCACTGCCCCCCAAATCCTCCGAACTCTGCCTGTTCATCCCTCCCTCCCCTAACGCCTGGCAAGCCCTGATCTTTGTACCATCTCCATGGTTTTCCCATTTCCGAAATGTCTTATAGTTGGAATCGTAGTTTGTAGCCTTTTTGGATTAGCTTCTTTTACTTCGTCATATGCATTTAAACTTCCTCTGTGTCTTTTTTGTTTTTTTTTTTTTAGAGACAGGATCTCATTCTGTCACCCAGGCTAGAGTGCTGTGGTGTCAGCCTAGCTCACTGCGGCCTCCAACTCCTGGGCTCAAGTGATCCTCCCGCCTCAGCCTCCTGAGTAGCTGGGACTACAGGTGCATGCAACTGCACCTGGCCAATTTTTCTATTTTTAGTAGAGACGGGGTCTTGCTCTTGCTCAGGCTGGGCTGGGGAAGTTTTCAATGAGCATGCATTGATGTAGTACATGAACAACTTTAATGAAAGCAAAAAAAAAGGAGAGAGAGAAAGAAAACCTCCCAAATGGTAACTTCTTACAGCTCAAATTCAAGAAATGGAAATAATTCTAGAAATAGAAACAAGCTAGATGTTGAAAAAACATTGCATGAAATTCAACGTCCATTCATAATAAAAAAAAAACTCTCAAAAAATTGGATGTAGAAGCAACATATCTCACTATGATTAAAGCCATATACAACAAACTCATACTGAATGGAGGGAGAAACTTAAAACCTTTTCTCAAGATCTGCGAGAAGACAAGGATGCCCGCTCTCACCGCGGGGTTATTCAACCCCGCAACAGAAGTCCTAGCCAGAGCAATTAGACAAAAGAAAGAAATAAAGGGCATCCGTGTTGGAAAGGAAGAGGTCAAAATATCTTTGTTCGCAGATGACATGATCTTCTATTTAGGATGGACACACTTGAAGCTCTGACTCGGGTGGGGCAAAGGCAATATATGTAACCTAAACATTTGTACCCCTGCACTATGCTGAAATGAAAATAAAATAAAATAAAAATAAAATAAAATAAAAAGAATCCACCAAAAATCTATTAGAATGGATAAACAAATTCAGTAAAGTAGCAGGACACAGCAGCTCACATACAAAAATCAGTGGCGTCTCTATGTGGAAACAGCAGACAATCTGAACTAGGAATAAGTTAGCTAAGTTAATACGATAAGAGATAGGGAAATAAGAACTTTAAATTGCTTTACTGCCGACAATTTTCTGTCTGTTGGGGAAAAAAAAAAGCAAACCAGGTATCACCTGAGATCGGGTGTTTAGAGAACAAAGGCAGGAGGTAAGTGTACACTCTGTCCCTGAGATTTTTGTTTTGCTCGAGGATGTGTAGAATTTTAATATTGTCACAAGCAGAGAGGGAGGGATTTGAAATTGTACATGGAGAGAAAACTAGACCCACGGAGAATTTTAATACCTGACTCAGCTTGGTTTAACCTTTGATGGCAAAGCATAATGTCCAGTAAACGAGAAATAAAAAGCAAAATCCCATGCAAATGGATGCAGTGAGCAAGGTCAAAAACCCCAGAACAAAACAAAATATGAGAATATCATTTACAGTAATCCTGCCTAGCGGTGGTTCACCCCTGGGTGTGGAGATTCAGGAAAACTGTTCTTTTTCCAATTTCTACCCGCCCTCTGGCCCCCACAAGGAATATGTATTTCTTTTATAAATAAAGAGGTGGAAATAAAGGCAGTGAATGAGTTTAATTTTGGATGCTGCAAGATGGACAAGAGCCAGGGGCCTCTCCCAGAGGTTAGGAAACGTATCCACCCTTCCACAGGGAAGAACTGAATGTCCCGGACTCTAAGCCATGGTGACTTTTCTGCTTTGTGCACGCAGAAAAGAAAGCCGATCACTCCCAGGGCACGAGCACAGAGTGAGAATCCAACGTGGGCCGTGCCTGAATATTCATTCACAAGACTCCCTTCTGCCCCGGGATGTCCTCCTGAACCCCCAGATCAAAGACAAGAAGGTTCCCTCCCAAAGGAAGCAAGCTTGAGTGCAGAGAGCATTTGCACAGTGCTTTGGGCTGAGAAAGATTGACCTCAGGTTTGTTTTCCCATGGGGTTGGGGGGAGGTCAAGATTAGCTGGACAGAAAGGAGACTCCCCGGATGTCCCAGCGAGGGGGGTGCTCAAAGCCACACCTGCGGCCACCAAACCAGGTGTTCACTCTGCTTATTTTTTTAAATGGTTGACCGTGTTATAGTGCGGAGGCCGTGCGCTATAATATCATCTTAGCCAGGCAATGCTGATTTAAAGGAAAAAACAAAACAGAACCAGAAAAGACCAAAGAGGCAGGCGACAGTTCATAAGCCCCACCGTGAATGTGGCGGGACAGCTACTGCCCTCTAGAGTTGAGCCCTACGCAAGGGCCCGTACTCCATATCCATTCTTGACCTGCAAGGACGGCTGTTTGGTAGAGTTCAGCCTGATTGATTGCTCTTCACAACTTCGGTTAAGCAGCCACCACCTTGCATCTGTGAAAAATCACGTACCAGACACTGCGTCTTGGCGTCTTGGCCTCGCCTCCTGTTCGTGTGGGTGATGAAAACACCCAGTGGTCCGTGAGTGAAATGTCAGGCACACGCCCTGCCTGGCTTGTGGTGACAAGTGGTTGATTTTCCTGGCACCTCTCACAGTGAATATTAGGTAGGAGGTGTTAGGAATGCTTTCTCTTCTTTCTTTCTTACGTTTTTCTTTTTTTTTTTTTTTTTTGCAGACAGAGTCTTGCTCCGTCGCCCTGGCTAGAGGGTAGTGGCGTGATCCTAGCTCACAGCAACCTCAAACTGCTGGGCTCAAGCGATCCTCCTGCCTCAGCCTCCTGAGTAGCTGGGACTACAGGCGTGTGCCACCACATCTGGCTAATTTTTCTATTTTTAGTAGAGACAGGGTCTCGCTCTTGCTCAGGCTGGTCTCGAACTCCTGACCTCAAGCCATCCTCCCGTCTCAGCCTCCCAGAGTGCTGGGATTACAGGTGTGAGCCACCGCGCCAGCCAGGAACTCTTTCTTTTCCTACCACTAACATGCATTCTACCTGAAGTTGGTTCTGCTTTGTGATGTGTGGCAACACATCTTAAATCATTACCTGGTAGGGAGCCTACAGAAATATTTTCATTTGTATATTCATATATATGATACATTATATACATTATGCCTTTTGTACATATGTATATTTATATACATACGTTTGAGCTAGGAACAGTTGACTCCTGGGAATGATATGAATGGATTATATAACATATGCAAATATATAATGAATTGTATATAACTTTTCTTTTATAAAAGTATGCATATATATTTGCCTTTATAAAAATTAGTAGGTATCAATATATTCTTTTTTTTTCTAGAAAGAAACATATTATGTATGGGAGGCTTCTGACTTTTCTGGGGAACGTGACTGGCTGTGTTTATTTTCTCTGGCTGGCTGTATCTCATTCTAAATGCAGCACGCGCAATCATGGCTGAAACGGTGTAGGACATATAGTTATACATCCGTTCTGTGGCCGGCCTCGTCGATGATATGGTCTATCTATTTAGCGGCACAAAAAGGAGCTTAATTTTCCCTTCCAAGGAACTCTGCACTTTAACCCTTAGAGTGCTGCACGCTTTGCCGCAGACTGGCTCCTTGCTCCCGGATACAAAGTCCCCACAAGAAAAAACACAGAATAAAACAAAGAAACACTGTCCAAGTATGACTCACAATGTAGCCTTTGACTCTCTTCCAGGCGACAGAATCACAGACTTCCTTCCCCGCCCTGACCTCAGCCCCGGGCAGCAAGCCTGCCTTCTCGCTCCGTCATAAACGCTTGGCTGGCCTGGTTGGTCTTTTCCCCTTTTTTTTTTTCAAAAATCCAATTTAATTTTTCATCTCTGATATCTCTTCAATTGTCCACACTCCAAGCGATCCGCATGTCTAAGACAAGAATCTAGTGTGGCTGCAGATTTTCCCTGCTTGGTCTATTTTCTCTTGTGGATTTTTCTTATGCATGATGTTTAGAAATCGCCCATGTAAAATATGCATTTTGTATTTTCACTGACTATTGTTTTTTTTAAAAGGAAATTTCTTCTAAATCATTTCCAGGGAGCCCCTTGAAAGGATGCAGTTTGCCGGGGAAGAGTTGCTATTTAAGATAAGC